AAAAAAAAAAAAAAAATTGAATTTGATCTTTTGCTTATATTTAATATATTTTGTTTTGTTATCTTATTATTATTTATTATATATTAGGTATATTGTCAAACTTTTTTTAAATTTCTACATGAATTCAATTTTGTAAACTTTTCGATTAAATTTTTCTTTTATAAATTTCTATATCTTAAAATTCAATGTACAATGGATGTTAATTATTATGATAAATTTTTTTAAAGTTTTATGATTCATAATTTATTTTGTGTATCTGAGTGTCACGTGTATCATAAAACTACGTGCTGACTTGGATCGAAATATACTCATAATCAGTGAAATATTAACGAGAAAGCATTTTGGATAAGAAACATATAAAATTACTTGTAATAAGAATATATGAAATATTAAATATTAAATATTAAATATAAAATATATAATATTATAACATTTAAATTTTTCACACAGTTTATAATGGAATAAACGGAAGATAAATAATATTTTACATTTATATTTAAAAGTAAAATAAAATAAAAAGAAATATAAATAATATCATTTTTTAAAATATATTGAAAAAGAAAGAAAATTAAAAATTAAAATATTAAATATACGTAAATTATTTTAAAATTAGTTAAATGTAAAACTTCATTGTAGATTGTAAAAAATTGTTTAAAAAAAATGAATCGAAAATAAAAAAATAAAAAGATATAAATTAAATATATAAAATATTTACATTTTATTTAGTCAGATTTTTATTTTATTAGTTTTACTTTTTAATACATTTATATAAATTTATATTTTTAATCGTAATAAATCCATAATTTAGTTTTTAAAATTATTTCAATTGCCAAAATTCAAAAATTATTCAATTTACAAATGGTACTATGGTAAAATAATAGTTATATGGTAAAGATATAACTGTAATAATCATGTAATGTATAATATATCTTGCAAAATCACAATTATCAGTACTTATATAAATAAATGACTAATGTTATTAAAGGATAAGTCGTTCGTGTGAACTTTTCGAGATAAAAAGTTAGATAAAGAAAGTGAAACTATTTGATAAAGTGATGCAACTGCATGGGAGTTGCTAAGTGCGAAACTAGGGGGAAGTACAAGGCCTTTAGCGAAGAAGGGCACGTGTAACTTGTCTCGTCGATAACCGCTATATTTACGACTGCACACCACGTGTCATATTTGAAGTTTACGGCAATTTTCCAAGAATCTGTCATGAGTCAACGCGGTGCGCATTGAATTTCTAGGACGTCGTTAAAAATTTAGACCAGCTTCGCACGTGCGCGTCTAGAAGTCCTCTGCTTAAGGAAGCACCAATTTATCATGCGTTGGGAAACACGTTTCGATTCACTCTCTCAGTCTCGATAACCAGAAAATCGAATTGATGTAATAATAGAATAGAACAGAAATTAATCCTTTGTTTTATTTGTACTTTATTAATTGGTTGTATTAAATAATACGATTAAATTAAGTTTAAGAAGATTATAATTTTAAATAATTAATTGTTTGATTTTAAATTTTCATTGTAAGTTTAATTTAATAAATATTTTATTTAAATATGAATAATCGATATAAAATGGATATTTAATAAAATGAATTAATTACGTGAGTTTTTATTTCCCGATTAATTAAAATTGAATTTCGAAAGATATAATGAATAAAAGTAGTTTATAGTAGATATATGTATAAAAATTTTACCGATACACGTGTTAAATTTACAGTTCAGTGGCACGGTTATATTTATCGTTGAGCCTACGGTATTTCTGAGCGTGTTACACGTGTAATGCAACCTTCGTGTAAACGATTAAGATTTTTTCTTTATTATTAAAAAATAAATAAATAAATAAATAAACAAAAAGTTAAAAAAAAAAGAAACAAGGTTTGGAAAAAAAATACCACGTGTCAGTAATAAAAGTTAATAAAAAGTAAAAATATTGTTCAGAAAAATAATAATATCACTCGTGGAAGATGAATTATATTTTTAATTTTAATCTATAATTTTACGATGAAAATAACTATTATGAAATTATTGGAAATTTTCTAAAAAAAATTATATAGTTCTAAATCTTTAGAAATTATAATTGGTTATTGGTAGTGAATAGAATACTGAATAGAAAAATATATATATCATATATTCTCTGAGGATTGTTCAAAGTTTTCCTATTTTTGGGACAACTGTCTACTTTCAAAAGAGAATGAAATATAGCAATGTGAATACAATCAAGCTATATGTATTTATCACTTCTCATCTTTAAGAAGAATAAAAGTTGAAAGATCTATATAAAAAAATCTATATAAATCTATATTGAATGGAAAAAAAAAAAAAGAATACAAAGAATTGAATATAAACTTTAACAACCGGAAACGTATCATTAAATATTTGCTTATAATAGACATTCGTTAATTGTTTTGATAGAATAATATGATTTAACGATAGAGGAATAAAATCTCAGATAGATTTTTTTCTGAAAATTTATAATACAATAAAAAGTCATATTGAAATATTGAATTGTAAAATTTAAAAATGTTTAATGAATAATTTTCTAATCATTTTTAATAATGTACGTAATATTTAATTAAAATTATTTTTCAAAATTGATTTAAAATATTGCATTAAAACATCAATAATTATTACAATTATTAAAATGAATTACAGACAAACTATAATATATACATTTCTCATTATCTCACATCTATCAATTTCTAAAAATTTTAAATAATGATGTATAAATATTTAAATAATTTAAATAATTGCGAAAAAATTTTATCAAAATTATTTCAATCGTTTAACCTTCAATTAATTCATTCAGTCGACGTTTAAAGGAACATCTCATGCAATATTCCGCGACACATGCAGTTGGTTATACGTGCCACGTGTCGAATGCTTGGGGAAAAAGAATCTTATTATTCTATTCAGGCATGCGTAGGCTGTCGATATCAGAAACTCATAAGAATGACTAGATTGCCCGCGTGACAGCATTATCGATCGTTTATTACCGTTTCACGAGCTGTCCGAGATCTTACATGAGATACATTTAAAATTTATCACCCCACAAATGACCGTGTTACCGAGAGTCACAATCTGTACGCAGAATTCTAATTGAGAGCCTAATTTTATACGACTAGAGTGTCCGATTCACTTTTGCTGAATGTATGAGAAAGATTTTAAATTCTACATTAACACCAACGTCAGCTATATTCGAGACGAAATATTTTACAATGTTTTTGTTATAATTAATTTAACAAATCATAATCTTCATTAAAGATGAAATTAGATTTTTATTTTATTGCAAAGAAGATAAAAAATTTGTTAAATGAAATTCTGAAGTTTTTTATAAATAATTATCTATAGTAATAATGAATTTAAAGATATTTATTTTATTAATATAAATTTTAATAATTGTGAAAGAACAATAATTGTGAAGAATTATGTATCATTATCTTTTTTTTTTTTAATTAGTAGTAAAAATATTGCGTATTTTTTATTAAAAGAAAAACACATTCACAAAAATTTTTTTTATAAAATACATATACATACTCATGTGAAAAAACTAATTATTTTTAAATATTACTTTTTTTTTTATTTTATGATAATATTTTAATAAGATAAATGTTATATATTTATGGAATAATCAATATATTAAAATAAAAACATTTTTTTTTTTACGATAAGTTGAAGAAGAAATTCAATCACTTGTTGGAAGGTTTCTTATAACAGTAAGTAAAAAACTTCTTTGAATACTATTCTTAAAGAATTTATGAATTTCTATTTGTAGAAATTTCCTTTCCTCATAATACTTTATCATAAATAAATAAAATTTTACTTTCTATTATGTTATTTTTTTTATTTTGATATTGTATAATATTTTATTACAATTTATTTATATATAATACTAATATCTATTATAATTTCTTTTAAAACCTATTAAACATAAAAAATTAAAAATATTTGTTTAATTATAAATTATTATTTGGATTATTTATAAATTATAATTTTATAACGTTTAGAATGTTTATTTTAATAACAAATTTATTTTATTTATTATCAATAAAAATATATATATATTTTGTAATACTTTTATTAATTTAATGATAATTAATTTAAAAATATTCGTAATCAAATGAATTATAAATAGTAAATGGAACGATAAAACAAACGATAAATTTATTAAAAAAAATTTAATAAATTTAATTTCAAACCAAAAAAATAAATAGATATAGAATTTATTGAAATTGTATAATATAATTATATCATATTATATTTATCATGATTAATGTAGCTATCTTTAATTTTAGCATAAGAATTCAATTCAAAAACAAAACCGAATCGATAAGCAGGAGAAATTTCATTATGAAAAAATTTTAATTTCTTACGTTGTTAGGAAATTCCACGAGACGAGATTTCCTTATTTCCTTTCAAATGATACGATTAATTTCGTTTTAATTCTCTCGAAAGGAAATAAAGATTTGACCAAGATAAAATATTCTGTGTATACATTGGATTGAAATAAAAGGAAGTTTTATTTTAGTAGAAATAAATACAATGCAAATAACCGGATCCACGAGCGTTCATTGGAATATTATCATTAAATGGCTTAACACGGCAAACGAAAAAAATATGTAAATATGTCATCAGTGCAAATTATTATATATTTAAATTTATACATAATGTCCTATAAAATCTAACTGAAAAGAAAAAGAAAACGAAAAATGTATACATAATATATGAATACTATATTTAGCAAAAAATGCATTCATGCGAAACAAGATTTAAGGATTAAAATAAATTATTAAGGTTTAAAATGTTCCAACTATTATTGCAACATTTATTTTGATTAATTGATTGTCAATTATTAAAAGGATTCAAGTGAATATTATTCTAGAATGATGAATAGAATATATGATGTATATCATATTGATATGAATATTTATAAATTTAATAATAATTTTCTCTTATGAAAATAAAATAAAAATATTCAAATAAACATTTAAATCTTATAATGATTGTTAATTTTTTTTTGTTTTAATTTAATTTGGGGAAATAAAACAATATAGGAATAAAGGAAATAATAGTTTTAATAATAATAATAATAATAAAGATAGTTTTAATTTAAAATAAATAACACTTTGTTAATTGATTTAAATATTAATGCTTTAAGTATCAATATTTTTTAATTAAATAAAAATATTCTTAAATTTTTTAATGTATATAATATATTAAATAAAAAAAATTGGATGTTGATTGTAATTTAAGATATATTATTGATAAAATATTCTTGTAATATTATTAATAAATATTGTAAATTGTACATTTTTTTTTTACAAATTATAAAAATATAATTTTTTCATGTAAAATAAAAAATTTAATGAATCAAATTCATAAAATTGTACTTTATACTATATTTTT